CGACAAAGAAAAGACGAATTTAGGGGGAAAATGGCCCTAAATTTCTTCTGCTTGAAAGAAAACTATGCAGCAAACAGTGGGTGTCTAGACACACACTATCAACAATACATCAAATTTTGGGCTGATCAGTATCATGGCTTAGCCTTATACAAGATGGTATAACTTGGCCCAGATCCAGCAAAGCACTTGGGCTAATGTTCTATTTTCAGCCTGTGAGCAGTTCCATTGAAGTCAAACTTTTTGTAACTTTCGGAGGTGACCATTTGCTTAAACTCTTTGTTGGGTAAGTACCAAGGAGTATTATTCCTATATTCAAATTCCTACAGATCCTAATTCAGGTCTCCAAAATATTTTTAAACATGGGTTTAAAGCCCTTGCCCTCAATTAAGAAAGAACCAGTCTGGCTCTGATTTCTTAGAGTCATGAAATGATGAGCAAAATCCCTACTTAAGTCACTTGGCTCACATTTGCAGTTATTTTTTTCATAGTTAAGAGGGCTTGAAACTTTCAAAAAGTGAATGCAGAAATTCGAAAAGTGAACGCAGAGATTAGCTACACCCTAAAATGTAGCTTAATCTTGTCCCCAGGAGCTGGTGTCGAAAAAAATTAAAGAAATAATAATAATAATAAAAAAAAAAATCTATCCTAGGACTCATAGAAGCATGAGAGTTATTGAATTTGAATGTACTCTGCACCTTGCTCATTTCAGCCTTCAGGACAGCTATCCATTTCCATGATGACTTTACTGACTAAGATGGACCAGGATTACTGTCCTCTTGTTTTGGAGGACTCTTCTGCAATAGGACAAGAACAATTTGAGAACTACATGCAACACATACTGCAGAAAGAAATGTTAACTCTGTCTAGATGAAGGAAATATGCTTTCTTTTTCCTATATCACTCATACCTACTTTTGTCCCCACATTCTGCAGTTCCTGCGTTTCATCTGACTTAAAATACAATAAATTCTCTCTGTTACAAGCAGTTGCTTAAGTGGTCCTGGGAGCCAACCAGTCTTCTGCTGGCTACAATGCATACAGCTGAATGGGGGGAAATGAACTTCCGCTGGTGAAAGAGCTTGTGCTATAAACTTACGGCAACCAGGTCCTGAGATCCCTGTATCTGATTTAAAAGTCCTTTCATAAAGATATCTATCTAACATTTTTAAACAGATCTTTTAATTCATCCCTGAATTGAGAATAAAAGCAGTCTGATAAAAAAAAAATATATAGGCTACATGCCAAAACCAGAAGTAGTAATTCATTGGCCTTTGTCCTGGGTTCAGCAGTAGCAGTCATTTTTCCCCTTCTTGGTAGCTGGTGCAGTGCTGTGTTTTGACTTTCAGCTTGGGAACAGAGCTGATAGCGATGTTTTGGTTTGGCCAAGGACTTTGTGAGCCTCATGCTCTGCCAGGGAGGAGGGGAAACCAGGAGGAAGCAGAGACAGGACACCTGACCCAAGCTGACCAAAGAGGTATTCCATACCACAGCACGTCATGCCCAGGGTGTAACTGGGAGTTAGCCGGAAGGACTGGGGGACGGCAGGGTTGGAGGAGGTATCGGTCGGAGCTTGGTTGGGATTGGGGGGCGAGTTATCGGTCAGCTGGTGGTGAGGTGTTGTATTCTCTTCCCTTGTTATTTCCTTTATCATTATTATCACTGGTGGTAGCAGTAGTGATTTGTGTTTCATTGGCCTTGAAATATAGTCTTTTACTGGAAACATTACAAAGATGAGATGAAGATGAGGACTGTGTGTCATCATGAAAAAAGGGGGGGCAATTTTTAACAGGCACTCTTTAGAATAGGTTCTATGTTTCACCCTCAATTACCAGTTCATCAATCTAGAATTTCTTAGCTGCTAGCACATGGCCAAAGGTCACCGAAAAAGGACCTCATTAAATTAGTGCAATTTGGAAAATTAACCACAATCTGAACTAATTTCTTTCCACAGTACACTAGATTTTCCAGAGTTATTCCTCTTTAGTAAAAGGCCAGTAAAACTAAAACCCAGAAACAGCCAAAAAAGAAATTCCCTTTCAACTGCCAGGCTGGATTATGTGCAAATAAATTTGGATACATTTTCCTTATAGATTAAATGAAATAGTTGATAATGATATCCTGCACTTACATATAACCTTTCAAAGTTTCAAGTATTCAAAAGCTTTAGGAGGGACCATGAATTTACAACTAAAGTAGTTCCACTGCATTGCCCATCAAAGAAATCAGAGCTCCTTCAGGAACTACAAGGAAAAGCCAATATCCAAACTCACTGAAGTAGCAAGCCTTGCCCTTCCATGCAAAACTGTAATACACAAGTACCTTGATTCCTCAAGCCCAGAACATCCCTCCTTTGATTTCTATTGAATCAACATGCACCTCAGCATCCTCACAACTTCAGTTCCTATGTGAGGTCAACAGGACTAAATGTTTCCAAAAAAAAAAAAAACCACAACAAACCACCAAACAAACAATAACAAAACAAACAAACAAACAAACAAACAAACAAAACTCAGGAACCAAATTCAGGATACTAAAGCCTTATTTTGATATCTCCCTATATGCAGTTAACTATTAAGAGAATTCTTCCTCAATTTTCAAACTGAAAACAATGTTTTAATTCCTTTTCATCCTAAAATAATTAGGAAATTCTACTCTGCAAGACAGAACAAAACAAAACTAAAGTGACAAAAAGCAAGTTTCTCATCTTATTAACCACTCATTCATACACACTGACAGTCTTTTGTTTATAATGATTCATCATAATACAATTTTTTCACATAATATAGCATGAACAGAACGGCTTCTTTCAACACCCCAAGTATATACGAAATAACCTCTGCCTTTTGCCTGATTTTCTGCCCTTGCCTTCTTTTCAGTAAACAAACCAATCTTCCAGTCTGCCCTTATGAGACATTTCCTGTTATCTGCTGCCCATTTTCAAATTACAACCACAATGATTCTGACCTTATGGCTGAGAAAGCCTGTGGGAATTGCTTTTAGTGAAAAGAATATTTTTCCTATCATCCTCAAAACCCTCAGTTGCCAGGGTTTAGTCAAATACAACAAAAGAATCACTTTTTGACAGAATTCAAACATCAACAAGTTAATTTAGAAATAAAATTTCTAAACCTTATTAAGTAAATGGCAACAGCCTGCTAGAATGGAAGTAGCTACGTTACATTAGCTATACCAGACATCACTACTGCTGTGGCTGCAGTGTTTTTTTTAATGGGCATTAATTTGACATGATGCAGACATCCAAAAATAAAATTCAAGCACCCAGGCTGTGCTTGCATCGACTGTGCCTTTAAGTGATCTGTGTTTATCAATGAAAGATTGTCAAAGATGGGAATTAATAAAGAGAAGCTACTGTTGTAACTATACCAACTGAGTTCTGGACAGGGAGACCTAAGAGAGCCATTTTCTTCCTTTACCTATTATCTGACAATTGCATTCAACTGGCACACAAAAAGCATGTTTATTTAAAGAGGAATGGATATCTTCTTCTAGGGTTTGTGTGCCTGGAAAGCATCACAATATTAGACTTGATATCCAAACGAAAAAACCAGCATATACATACACTATAGTTGATCAAATCAAAACTCGACTTGAGACCAAACATTACCTGCATCAAGGACCACAAGGATGACAGGTCACAGAAAATGGTTTAACAAAACTTTTCATGACAGAAACTCACGTCTCAGAATACAAAGGGATATGCAAAATCCTACTAAAGCCGTAAGTCAAACAAAACAGTTTAGTTTCCCTGAACTGCACCCTGTATTCAGGACCAACAGGACTTGTCAAACCATTTTCCATTGACACATTTTAAAAGAATATGGATTTCTGACCAAACAAAACACCTTTTTTTTTTTGTTAATGTATTAAAATACTTTTTGATATTGTAAAAAATATTTTTTTTCACCTACTACTTACTCCTCCATTGCAATAATAGAGCAATTTCACGGTTATGATAGTGGTTGGTTGCCAGTAAAATAATCACAGCAACATAGAATCACTATTTTTCCATGTTATGGACTAGAAAGTGGGGAAAAAAAGAAAATTACACTGCAAATACTTAATCTCACTGCCAGACCAACAGAAAATAAGATCAAAGTGTGACAACTGAAGTTCATTAGCTACTTCAGTGATGATGCATGAGACTGGGAAGAATTTGTTGCTGTTTACCATCAGGGAACATATTCTCTTTAACAAGAATTTGCAAAATCACTATTTTTCTATTTTATTTTTCCCCCAAAAAAATTTAGCAGATTGCCATGCAAAGCCAGAAAGCAGTCCTATTTAACATAAGGATGGCCTTTTACACAGCCCTTTATGGATATGAACTGTACTTCTTCATTATGCATTAGTTAGCAAGGGTAATACAAATATCAGCACAGGACAGAGAAGACAGGTCTGCCTCTTCGTCATGATGGTTTTCATTTCTACCTTCCCAACCTGCCAGCTCCCCAGTTGTCTGCAAGAAAATGCGTGATGTTTTCATGAAGCTCAGCAAGCCAGGGACATGCAGTCTTCATAGCAGCCCTCATAAGCCCAACTTCATTGACTTCAAATAAAGCCAAAGTGATTTTTATCAGCTGAAGAACTGGTCTGACCTGTGTAGAACACACTACTGTGCACAATAAAAGCCCAAAGTGTGAAGCACTTCAAAATCCAAGTGCCTAGACATGAGTAAGAGGTGAATTTCTAGCTCTTTGTAACAAATTTCCATGGACTTCAAGCATGGCAGGAACTTCTCTGGTGGCAGACTGGGGCTAATTCATTGACACCATTGCAGCTACACTGATTTATTCCAGTGAAGGTCTTTTCCTTAAACTTATGTGATTGTGGATCATATATTCATGACTTAATCCATTATCATGGCATGGGGAAATGGAAGAAATGAAAGCAACACAGCAGCACAAATGAAGATTTTATCAGTTAAATAAACTTGAGGGCTGTTATTCTTTATGTTTATTTCAGTTATCATTAATTTCTTACCTCACAGACATAAGCAAGCTATTGTTCAACCTCAGTTCTCTCAGATTAGGTAAATAGGCACCTATGGGAACAGAATAAAAAACACTTTGCAGATCTGGGAATAAAAGAAACTGCTGAAAATTACAAGTTGAAGCACCTAATTTTACATGCATTTCTTACCTGTTTCTGCCAGACTTGTGCTAGAACTCTTCTAAGAAAATTAATGAGATTATTTCACTAAAAAAATATTTTATCCTTTGCATTTTTGCACCATATACGTACTGTCTGCATGACTACCCTGCTATAATTTTTGGAAACCCTCTGTGACAATTTCAACAGAGCACCTTTCCAGACAGACAACAGAAACTGGCTTGATGGGTGACTGCTTTCTTTGGTCTCATTCCCAACAGTCGTTGCCCGTCAACTGAGTGATTACTCTGAAGAAGTAAGGGATGCTCAGGGTATAGCAGTCCATGACCCCTGATCTCTACATAATGTTCTTGCTTCTCTCCCCAGAAACATTTTTCTAGCAATTTAATGTCAAGTAGTGATGGATTTCTTGGATACACAGCTAGGTAACACTTCTTCAAAATGTAATTTTGACTCAAACAATAATAGCATAATTTCTCATGTCATAACTTCACCATTTACAGTTCAGAGGTCCCCAGAATCCTATTTTGTTTTGATATGCATTGTCATCTCCTTTTAATTTTCTGGATCTCATCTACGGCTTACTATTCAATTGTACAAATTTCATATCTATGAATACCTCAGTATTCTGTTGTTATTTTGATTAATGCTTTTTTCTGTTACCAAGACAGAATTCCCTTTTTGTTTGTTTCTACAGGTATCTCTGAACAAAAATCACACACAAAATCTCTCCAAGCTACCAAGTAACTCAGACATAAGATCTAGTCCAAGGAAACATTAGGTATTGACAACAACAAAATTTTACCCATTCCCACTAGAGGAGTTCACCTGTGACTGGTGAATACCCTCCAGTATAACATGCAACCATATAAAGTTAATAACAATTTTAGACAGACTGGATCATTGCTAAAACATTAAAATCTCTTCTAAGCAAATATTTTTATAAGTCCTTTGAGTAATCTTTCTCTAGCATGGGTGGCTTAGCAGTGTCCAGAGGGACATCATTCCAGCTCTTTGCAAAGGATCAAAATGAAGCAAAACAAACAAAAGAAAACAGGAGTGGGATTCCAAAAGCAAACAAAGGAGGTCATGTTGTTCATCCCATTTCCCCAAACATAACAAGAGCATTTACAGCAAAAAGATTTTAATAAATCATGGTTCAGTAGAAGCATTATGTATATCTAGTGCTAGTTGGGAATGATTATAATGCATATCAATCTTCACACATATATTGATTACAACACATATAATACATATAAATCTTCATGCTATACTGCAAATATTGAACTTCATGTCTTTGCAAAGCTCTTAAAAAATACTAAAAATACAAAACATTTCTAACCTTCTTTTTTTTTGTAATTTTTCATAACCCCTAAAACCTGTACAAATTATAACATACCATTCTCATCCTGCAGGGCATACTTTCTTACATCAAATCAGTTTTATAAAGTATGGCAACAAAAAAAATTTGGAGTCCTGACAGGTTTGATACTAGGATCTCTGTTAATTAATCTAGATTGCTACCATGTTTCTGATAAAATACCTCCAGCGCAGAGAGACGTAATGGCTTCCCCAAAAGCATTGAAGGAAAGAGCAAGAAGGATGCAGTAGCCTCTCTAGTCCCACCACAGCAGCAGGTAATAGCTTTGCCACAGGTTCAACCAGAGAGATTAAAGGGTTACCAAGCAAAAGCTATTGCAAAGCATTACAAAGTAAATGGGTTTTACAAACTAGTATCAAGCAGAAGGTTTGAATGAGGAGACAACAAAACTACCTCAGAGAAAAAGGAGAGACTTGTTCAAGAAAAAGCTTCCCACTGAATGCATTTAGAGTTGGTTCAGGAAAAAAGCAACTATTAAAGAACACAAAGAGGCAGAGTGACAGGCTGACAGTACCATTTTCACATCTAGTTATTTCATTATTGTAACCTGATCCTCCATCTCAGACATTTTATTGTATTTTGGTACAATCTATCCCTGGGAACTTGCAGAGTGTTAAGCTCTAATATGCTGTTTAATAGACTGAAATAGAAGTATGGTATGTGCAGTGGTGCAAAATTCTACCAGCAAGATTTTTGCATATTTATCCAGTTCTGCAGGTTCTTCCCTCCTTTAAGGTTTATATTTGATACGTAATTGTTCTTTGCTGCTAATAATTCATTGCCCACTTAATTTTGTATGGTTTTATAGTCCCAATTCCATCCATCCATATATATATATATATTAGAGACTGCAAGATTAAATTGAAAGAATATTGTAAAATGAAGATGACAGAAATAAGAGATCTATCCAAATATAGTAACATACTTCTAATTTTCTTAATTTTAACCCTCACGGCATCTTTCCTGAGAGCAAGGATGCAATTTATTCTTATACTAACATAAAAATATTCTAAAACATCAACAAGACAAACTTCCAATAATTTTTAAAGTACAAACAATATATTCCTCATCTTGAAACTGCCTTTCTAAAATAAGAATGGTCCAGAAAAATACTGATGACCACAGTACAAGGCTGAGAATTTAGAATGGTGAACAATGTTAGCTCAGAGGTCTAAGATTCTGTTTCAGTAAATACCCTTTTTGCTACAAGTCTCTGAAACTACTAACCACCAGCAATGTGCTAGTGTTAAACTAATCAACTGTACTATCCCAGTGGAACAAAACTAAATGAAGAGCAAAAGAAATCAAAGTGTAAGGTAGATGAATAAAAGTGATACATGCACACTCAACAATGTCGCCTTAAGTGCTGCATTTCACAAGCAAGGTAGGAATGCAGATGTCTTTCTGAGCTGTTTTGGTAGAGCAGATGAAGTTTAGATAACAGACTAGGAGTAAGGAGAAATATAGGTAAGATGCTGGTTTTATTATATTCTACAAGCTATGACACTTATTTTTATGAAACTTGTTGTTGACATTACAATATATTCTATTGTTAAAAAAAAAAAATCATTGTAGCTCGACTTCTTATGCCTTCTGGAATATGGATTAGAGAAAAAAATACACAAAAGAAATTACTGACAAATACTTGCATTGCTACCAGGACACCTATATGTTTTATTGATCCTACAGTACATGTGATCCTACAGAACATGTGAACACAGATTGCACTCTTCTAGCAACAGCAACATGATACACAAATTAAACAGGCTATTTAATTCACTTAAGGTGTGTTTAATCAAGTAAGATCCATCACCTTGATGTTATTTCCACACTGGCCTCCTGACCACTTGTGGAGGCAGTGTTCTCACGGGAGAATGCATAATTGGTACATAAACTCTGAATAATCCTGAAAGATACAGCAAGGCCATGAGAGGCCCAAAGAAGCTTAAGCAAGCAAGATACGAAGAAGCTGGAATTCACTGAGTTAATGAGAACTGTGGACTGTTGGCAAGCTTTCGAGGTCAAGTTCTCACACCTGTGCTAACCAATTATATGTTAGTCACTAAGGGTTCTTCAAGACATGTATCCAATCATAATATGCCAAATCACTGTAAGTGCATGTAAGAAATAGTATATAAGGAGTTATGGCTTTGTAATAAATTTGGCAATCGCTTGACCACATTGATCGTCTCTGTGTTGTCCGTGACTCCCGCAACAACAACCACACAAGTACCAGCCACTGCAACGCTAGCTGCCAACAAATGTCTCTCAGCTTCACATCAGGAATACCAACAAATAGAACAAGAGGAAAGAGAGAGGATGACTCCGAGTGAAAAAACAAACCTTTAGCAGAGCTTTTCCTTGATAAAACATGGGCAAGGGAAGCAGCAGTCTTCAGACCCATAATCAACTTAGCCTGGCCACCAGCAGACAACAATTCAATAAGTACCAGCGAACAGCATTGTGGGTAACTTGATTTGTAGCTATTAAAATCACTTAGAAAGAAGAGGACTATATAGTGTCTTAAATTACTGTATCCCACCATTACTTTCAACAGGAATTTCTACGAGGTGGGCAAGAATGTAGTCCCAGATCTGTCAGCAATCAATCAGAACTGAAGGGATAAGCTAATGAAAAGAAAAATAGTCCATCTGTTTGAGTATGTACTAAAGCCTACACGCAAACTGAAGAGCACAGAAGTGAAGTCCAAGATCTGCAAAGCTGGATACAAGACTTGCCAGCGTGGTTCAGTGTTTTACCTGTCACTCAGCAGGGTGCACTGAAAACAAACAGCTAAAGATGTCAGCAATTATCCCAAGCCTTGAGACTCCGATTCCAGCTCCGGCACAAAGCCTTTCTTTAATTTTAAAACTGATCACATGAAAATACTGTAGTATTGGTCTTTTTGAGTTTTAGCCCACACTTTACCCTTAAAAAACGCAACTGTTCCTCCCCACTATGTCACAGCATTGTAGAGAGCCTGATCTGACAAACCGGGAAAGCTTAGCAAGATGGAGCTTTGAAGTTTAGTACATCCCAATCTGGAATGCTCATGAGAAAAACTCAAGTCACATGTTTTAAATCACTCTGGAAACCATGATAACAGAGATGTAGGCCCTGAGGGCTTGTGTTGCAGTCTGTGTATGGCTGCAAACATTGAAATGTTTCTCAAGTAGAAATTGTAGTATAAATTTGTGATTTGAGTGTTGCAGCATTCCAGGTGACCCAGAGTTATGTGCAGTCAAGTAACTTGCAACTATTTTACCTGGCCATTTAAGAGCTTGCACAGCCTATTTTTTCTTTACGCATAAAACCAGTCAAACAATATTGTTTATTAAGTGCAAACTGATCATAGAAATAAGGAACTCTTTGACGACAAAGATGCTGTTATGCACCTTCTGCAACTAAGGAACACAGTGAAAGCAAAGTTAACTGATATAATATGGCTATAAAGAAAGTTAATTAGCTAGGTCTGGAATGCAAATAAAACCACCAATTTGCAAAGCAATCCATTCTGGAGGAGAGAGCCAGAGGTCCCAAGCCCAGCCTCCTGCTTGGAGCTAGGTCTTCTGTGAGATCAGACCAGGGTGCTCAGGTCTTTACCCAGCTGGATCTTTAAAACCTTCAAGGGTGGAGACTCAAACCTCTCTGGATACCCTTATTGCTTAACTGTCCTAATGGTGGAAAAGCTTCCCTTTCTTGTCGCACTGTAACTTCTGTCATTCCAGCTGGTCTGGTTTTACCCTCCTCCTTCCCTCCAGCTATTTATCCAGACCCCTGTGAGTAGTGACCAGGTCAGCAGCAGAGTTTTAGGGGCAAACGAAGAGCATGCAACAAGCCCAATACCTCCAACAGCAGACCTGCTTAAACTATTCGCATTGAAGGTGCAAACTGTCCTGTGATACCCCTAAAAAGGTAGACCTTACTCCATGCACCTAAAAATCAGCTGTCATGTGAAAAAAAAGAAATTTTGTTTGGTCTTGACGTTCTGTTATTCTCAACAGCAGTGGGCACCTGCAGCTGCTGAGTTTTATAGCCCACAGGGGCCAAGTCTTGGTGCAAATGGTGGGATATAAACAAGATGGAAATTGTCTGCAATATGGGAATAGCGCTCCACATTCTGTAAAAGATGCAAAAGCCTAATCACAGGGAGCAGAAAGGGATTTATTTCCAGTAATGGAAAGGAAAGGGAAACACAGAGTGAAAAGAGTGAAATATTTTGCTTGCTTGTTACAGCTCATGTGAAATGGCATTGGAATGGGAGTGGCACTTTCAAGCATTATAGAAAAGGCATAATCAGATTTTCTTATCAAGTGGAGGAAACATGACTGAATAGATTATGATTTCTGAAATGCATGTAATTTACCTTAAGTTATCAAATGCCTATCATAAAGAGAACTATTTACAAAATAAATGGAATAACCAATACAAAGCGGTTATATAATTCAAGACAAAAGCCCCCTTCACTGCACTTGCTTCGCCATTCTTGACAAATAGACATCAATCAATCCACTAAAGCTAATTGGCTGCTACATTGTAGTCCCTTGCATATAAAAATTAACTGCTTGGCTGAAAATACCAACACCCACTTTTGGGGATGTGACTCCTTTTGGCACAGAAAATATTACCCTGCAGTAGGCTTGGTTGCAGAAGACTTGGTTGTGATGGGCATCCACATGACAGAAAATGACTGCCAGTAGCAGGAAAAAGGAAAGCTTCATATTCCCAGTGTTAACTCTCCTATAGAGGGAATTCCTTTGGAACTTCTTTACTTCCCCAGTGTGGTAATGACAACATAGAAACTAAGGACAAGCATTAGGGCTCTTTAGGACTCCTCAAAATGATATATCTATAGGACTTTCCCCATCATTCAGCAGAGCTCAATGAGGCAGCACAGGATGCAAAGACAGGCCGCTGGCTGCATGAGTAGCTTGATACCACTAGCAATTTCCCACCCACAGGAAAACCTTACAGTGGAGAGAAGCTGAACTTTGGCTACTGCTTTGTTAGAGTATTGCCAAGTACTTAGAGGGCAAGGTAATCAATAAACGCTCATTTAGGGCCTGGAAGCATGTCATTTGAGAGGAATGTGTTCAAACTAATTTGCTTTAGACAGAAATGGCATCACTCATCCCACTGCCATAGTTTTCAGTCCTGGTTAGAGCTTCACAGAAAACAGAGATCAAGGAATGAGAAGTTCCAGGAAGACCATGTTTCAGGAGCTCTTGAGCAGGAAAGTACTTTACAGTGGTTGTCAGTTTCTGAGTCTCCAATCATGCTTCAAGACACAATAAAGGAAAATTTGAGACAGTGAGCAAAAGACAAAGTGTTTTCTTACCAAAGTTCCCCAAGCTGTTCTCTCTTGTATCTACTCGCACCTCTAGGGCATTCACTTGATGTAGATCATCTACCCCTGTCAAAATTTTCTGTGAAGGTAAGCAGGAATATATATACATATATATACTTTCATTGCAATAAACCAGGCAACATGCAATAAACCAGATGAGAAGTAAAAAGCTGTAGAAAGGCTTTCAACCAGTGCTTTGTCAACATATACTCCAGGTCAAAATGGCTAGATGTGCAATCACATTGAAATAAATTTAGTATTCAAAGATATTTTTTCCACATAGCTCCAAATTATTCTAGTCTCTTTAAGTCAAATCTGAGGATTATATTCAAGCTGCAAATCAACAGACCTACATGCCAATTAACTTCATTTAAACAGTATGTCCATGCTTTAAGATTTGCATAAGTCTTGTATGAATCCTCAGCAGATAAGAAGTTACTCTGTCACCTGTAATCAAAAAGATACTAGGTAGTAACACTCAACAAAACACATTGTTTAGCCTTTTAGCCCAAAACCATGAAAAAGAGACATGATTTTAGCATGAGCAGCTCACTTTTGTGAAAGAAAACAGCACTAATTACAAGAACTGCAAATTCTAGGCAATGCAAACAGAAGCCTCCAAAATACTCCATTATTTTTGCAAAACCTTAGTAATAGGGTCAACCACTGCATTAACCAAGAGTAAGTGCATGAATGCAGGATCTTTTCTAATATCTTAAAGTCTGCATTGTTGTGTACATGTAAGTTTTGCCTTGGAGAGGTAAGCAGGAGGATAGAAACAAGAAGTTATACACAGAGGAGAGAGGGAAGCTCTAGGACAGTCAATGAAAACTACAGCAAGGCTATAGAGTTCTAAGATGCCAGGCTGCAATTCCACAAGCAGCTGCAGCAATCTTGTGTTACCACTGTTCTTATCCTCTATTCCTTCCTGCTACGACCAGCTCCTCTCTCCCCAGTTTCCCTCATTCCGACTACGTGTTCCACCATGTCCTTCGCATCATCTTTGGGTACTTAGTGGATCCTTCTGTGCATGGGTTCACCAAAACAGACCAGGAGGGACCTATATATTTTGTCCCTGATGTGTTAGCGGTTCATGAAGGGGCCCGAAACACTCTTTGAAAGATGAAAAACAAGTCTTTTGTGACACAATAACTGCCTGAAAGAGCTGATACTCTGTGTAGTGAAACAACTGCTACATTCTCACCTTTCCATGCCAAAGGAGTTAGGATGTGGGGCTAAAAAAAGCCCACTTCAAAGAAATGGCTGACCCTGGCATCAGTATTTCCCCCTCAATAATGAAATCAATAGCATGGGTCAGTAGTGTCACCTGCCTTTTGCTCCTCTGTTTAAGATGAAGGCAGGAAGTCATTCAACAACCTCCACATACAGCAGACAAGTTTTCTCCTATTAAAAGTTACAACATTCTTTAGTTTGTTTAATAAGGGGGGAATTATTCATTAGAAGAAAATGTACAGGACCACTTCTGTTTATGAGGTTGGAGAAGAAAAAATAACCACAAGAACATCCAGTTCATTTTGCAGAGAAAAGCGGCAGTTGCGACATTCCTGCTTACTGCATGCAAGCAACTACAACTTCATTCACCCTGATAGTGCTGTACTGATAGGACAAGGAGTAATGGGTTCAAACTTGAACACTGAAGCTCAGGTTAGATATAAAGAAGTTCCTTACTGTGAGGGTGGTGAGGCACAGGAATAGGCTGCCCAAAGAAGTGGTAAATGCTCCATCCCAGTCAGCGTTTGAGGCCAGGTTGGACGGAGTCTGGGGTGACATGGTCTAGTGTGAGGGTAAGGGGGGTTGGAAACAGATGATCTTAAGGTCCTTTCTAACCCTATTCTATGATTCTATGACAGTTCTACATCCTTTTACAAAGGACCAAACACAATCTGTGTGTAAATGAGATAACAGCTTAAAAGGGCATGGTTTCTTGAAAAGGCTGAGCACCCTCCTTGAAAATCTGCCTCCCTTTGTAAGGTTTTGACTTGGACTCCTAAGAAACAGAATTATCAAAAATCTTCATTTACTTTTGAATTGTCTTTATAACACTGTTTGAAATTATTTTTAATCTTATTTTAAAAAAAAACTGTGAGCTTTTTTAAGCAGGCTGAACCTAAGTAGTCTTCTTACTTTCCTGCTTTCCCCCTAGAGTATGAGAAACAAAGTTCTAAGGTGATAACCTGTGAGTTTCCAATGGCATTCAGAAGTTTACTTTCTATCCCAGATGCAGCCACCACAAAAACTGTCTTGCTCCTGCAAAGAATCCATGCTTACCACATACAGACTGCTTTCTCCCACCAAGTAAACACAAAATCCCTCACTGCAAGATATATTTTGCAGTAATCCTTTTCAGCAGATGACACTATCTGTCGTATAGCAAGAGAGTATGTGTGAAATGAGTGCTAGCTGATGTCCTGGCACACAAGCACACACTTGGATTGCTGGACTTGGACACAAGCTTTGGTCATGAAAGGAAGCTGCTTCTGAAAAATATCTCCCCTCTCCCTGTCAAAACAGTCTTAAGAGCGAGCCTACAGCATTAGAAGACAGAATAGGAAGATCTCAGAATAAGTAATATGCTTAGGGTCATACAGGTTCTGAGTAGAGTAGCAAAAGCTCCTGGCTTTGCCTTTCTCCTCTGCTCTCTGCGAGTTCCCTGCATGCTGTCCTTCCCACTGCTGTATTCTAGACAGCCTCCTCTAACGGCTCTGCTCGTTGTCCTCCTCTTTCAAAATCCAAGCATAAAAACTGCATAAAGTTATATTCTCTCCTCTTCTAGGGTTCCCTATTCCTTTTCCTCATACCAGCGATATTAGTGTGATTTTTTGCCCTCCTTTGCCTCTTTCAGATCCACCATTTGTACTTTTTCCCATCTGAGAGATGAACATCTTAGCACATCCACATTCTGTACTGCAACAGGCACAGCTCTGGCTCCAGTGCTGAAAAGGGTTATTGGCTCCCATCACCAACTCTTTGAACTGTAGACAGCTGCCTTAAAGCATGTGCTAACCAGAGTCCATATGCTCTCAGTCCCCATTTCCCTGTTCTGTTTTTCCAAAAGTCTCTGAAAAAAATCACTGTCCTTCCATCTGCTGATGCTGAGGAGATGGTTGGAAAGTTTGGAACCAATTTGCTGTGGGATGCAAAAGCTATCATACTACATGAAGAAAACAAGAAACGCTCTTGGGGGGGCGAGCTCACTGAAAGGCACTAGAAGCACAGAGACCCCAGGTGTTGACTACAAGCTAGTTAGCAAGCAAAAGGCCAGGGCGGCAGCTCAAGAGAAGGTTTTGTGATGAATGTTTCCTTTGGAAGATAATTAGGACACTCCTACTGCCCAGACACCTTTCTTGGCATACTGGTGCAGCTGGAAGTGTGACATATCTCATGTCACAGCTAAAATGATGGCACCAGGAATGAGGGAGATTTAGGGAAGGATGTGGAAACATTTAAACCAAGATGACATATATTTAGCAGGATCTCCTTTTTATGTTGTTGTTTAATGCCAAAGCACAGGAGCCTTCACCAAAATTTGAAAGGAGGGATACCTAGGAATAATTTTATCGCTCTTGAGTAGTAAAAGAAAAAAAAAAAAAAACAAACATAAAAATCTCCAAAGACACTGAAGGGATCATCAGCTCCAATACAGAGATACCTGGCACCACAAAGGTTGAAGTGATGCTAAGGTGCTCTAAATCTTTTCATTCCTAGGGCCATGCCAGGCCTTGGGCAGGCTACTGCCCTAATTCAGAAGTATCCTACTGTGGCTTCAGGTAATGACTGCCTGCCCACAGTTCAAAGGGCTGTTTTGGCAGCCAGGAACAGAATGTCTCTCTGCCTGTCTGCAAGGAATGCGACACACACGAAGGTGCTGTGCCACCTAGGATTTCTTTGCCTGTGAACAGCTGCTCAGCCTCAATGTAGAGCAGACAAAACGTACCACGGATCTGTTCTAGGCAAAGAATTGGATATACTCAGAGTTATTTTACAGCAAAAAGATACTTTGGAAAAAAAAAAAAAAAAAGGCTGATTGTTGGTGTTCAAAGAGGATTTTGCTTGTCACCCATCTACTGCCTGCCCAGCAAGGTGGGTATCAGTTAGATAGAGAAGGAAGATGTTTTCTGAAGAATCAAACATCAAATCCTTTCTGGCGCATGATGTTCAGGAATGTGGCCTGACAGCAAGCATTATACTTCACCTTAAATTTGTTTATTCGAGAAGATAAATTTCCATGGTAAAGCACTGCACAATTCCTTGAAGACGAATACATGATAAGTAAAACAAGAGCAGATAAAGTTATCTTTGTGTTTTTACACCTCCTTCAAAACAGGAGTAAAACTATTTCACAGGAGATCATGCAGAACATATTGGTAAATAATTTAGCCAGTAATTTAAAAAGCAACTCCACGACGGCTCACAAATCATTCCCACCGTGCAAAATGTCTGGCCAACATCTCAGAGGAGACTGTGCACCAGTTTCGAAAGCTTTTCCTCTGACTGACAAGAAAAGCCAGTAAGTATTCTGTAAAGAACAGCAAGTGAAAAATACTTGTGTGCTTGCAAAGCTTCCCAACTGGCAGAACAGTCACCTCGAGATGCTGGGAAACCCAGTTCAAGTCCCACTTGCAACTCTCTGTGAATTCCTTAATTGGTAAATAATATCTGTTCAATTAAAGCTGGTGTACACAACTGTTTTCTTCCCTCTTCCCTAGATTTTTCACATACTTCAAGAAAAGTAGATAGGTTACTGAAGTGCATGTTGTGTGCAGCTGTCAGAGAAGCATTTCCAGCTGTGCATTTATTTTGCTGATCCTGGCTAATTTGGCTAAGACAGGAATTCCTGAGTGGTGAGCTTATTTCCTTTTAACGTTACACCTGTATGCAAATACTAGAATCATGTCCATTCACGCGTTCATTGCTTTTTGCAGGAAATTTATTTTGAATTCCCATCTCTCCCTGCACAAAACCCCTAAAGTTGCTGAAAGTATGACAAAATATTGCTTCTAACAAGAAAATTACGAGAATGTTAACAAGGTTTTAAGTGATTCCAAGTAAGGGATTTTC